CAGTAAAAAGCTCTAAAAAACAGTCACATTTAATTTTTTTATTACAGTAAAAAATTCTCATATAAAATCACATCTCAATTTAAATTAAATATTTGAATCAGCGAACTAAACTAACCTTTAATTTCTGTTTTTCTTCAAAAATCCTTTGTTTTAACAACATACGTAAAATAGTGTTTTTTTTTTTTTTTGTGCGTGTAAATTACGTAGAAATAATTAACCATTTAACCTATGCCATCAAGCCCTTCTTTCTCTTCGCGTTCTCTTTCATTTCCTAAACATTCAAAAGCCATAACACACCATGAAAATTGAAAACCATTCCTTTTCATATAAAATTTATTCAACCTATCAAGTTAGAGCATTTTCGGAAGAAGAATAAATGAAAACAGTTGAGAGAAATTCCAAACTTCCATGCACATATCAACAATCATATGCTTCCTCTGGAGCACAAAATTTCGTAATTCATATATATCATTTGTTAGGTTCTCTTCTTTTTTTCTTCAAATAATTCAGAGCAAATTAGAAGATAATCATATAATGAGAGAGGGTCGCAGATAGATATAGGGATGGAGATGACAGCCGTGTCTACTGACGACTATCATTGGCGACGAGGGTCTACAAACGTTTAATAAAAGAATTCATATCATAATTTAAATTATTATTCATAATTTATTATAATATTTTTTCTTATAAAAAATACATATAAATTAAAAATAATTTTAATCTCATAATTTTAATTCATAAATTATACGTCTCAAATCAAACTCCCGTGACCAACAAAAGGACCAAAAGTCATTTTACAGTAACATTTCGAGTGCAGAAGCAAAATATTTAAGATTCAAAGTAATACAACATATATCGGACAATTCACAACAATATCAAACAAATTTCACTAACATCAATCAAACCAATTCAAAAAGTATATTTTTAACAAATTCAATAACATCAATACTCAACGACAAACTATTCACACAAACTATTTTTTTTTAAATGGAACACACACAAACAAAATTAATCTCACAATTATCAGTTTTCAAAAACCAACTAATCACACAAACTAGTTTAAAGCAAACTTATATCATAAATTCCGCAGCTCGATGAAGGGAGGTTGAGAAATCCGGCGCAATGGCATCAGGGACAGGCGGCTCGTGGGAATGACGCTCCGGCGTCGGGCGTCTCGGGGGAAAAGCTTCGGCAGCTTAGGCGGCGCAGGAAAAGGGCTTCAGTTGGGCTGTCGGGGGAACTTTGTCCGGTGCTGCGTAGATCGGAGGAAAGGTGTCCAGCGCTTGGTAGACAGGAAAAACGGCGCTCCGGCACTGGGGCGGCACTGGGTAACTGCGCTCTTGTGCTAGGCGGATTGGGTGAACGGCGCTCTGCTGCGTGACGAACCACGGTTGAGGATAGGAGGGAGGCGTGGGTGGAGTCTAGGGGGAGGCGTTATCGAAGAAGATAATCGTTATATATATATACAGTGCTAGATCAAGGGCTGATATTAAATAGGGTATTCTTGTCATTTCACATCTAAAACTAATCAGAGTTTAGTGGAGGGGTATTGGTGTGATTTTTATTGGTTACGGGTGTGTCTCTATTATTTTGATAAAATACAGGGGGTGTCAGTGTAAATTACTTAAGAATATTTTGAGTATTCTACCTAAAATAAGACAGGAACAAGAAGAATCACACAATAGAAAGGTTTGTTTGGTAACGTTTTTAAAATTATTTTATTTTTAGTATAAAAATAAAAATGAGATTGTTTTTAAAATTATTCTAACACTGATTGTAAAATTAAGTTTAGTTAGTTTTTTAAGATATTCTTTTACGTATAATAAAAAAATGAAATCGTCTTGGTTATAATTATTAATTAATGTATTATAACATTATTGATAAATACTAAAAAATGAAAATAGAAAAGGGAAAATAACTTTTAACTGTTTTTTAATTTTCACAAAAACCATTCTCACTGGGTGCGTTTAGAATTGGTTTCAAAATAATTATATTTGCAATAAAAAGTAAAAATGAGATTGTTTTGAGTATCATTCTCAGACTAATTCTAAAATTGCATTTGGTTAGTTTTTTAAAAGATTGTGTTGAGTATAATAAAAAAGTAAAATCATGTTTATTAATTAATATATTATAAAATTATTGATAAGTATTAAAAATATAAGCAGAAAAGTGAAAATAATTTTCAACTGTTTTCTAATTCATTCACAAAAATTATTCTTACTGTTTTCGTTTTCATTTTCGTTTTCAAAACATTTGTTAAACAAACGCTATTTCATTTTCATTTTTATTTTTTACTTCTCAAAATACGTAAAAATCGTTTTTAAAAAGGCTTCCAAACACACACATTATTTTTTATTTTTGTTTTCGCTTTCAAAACATTTGTTAAACAAAAATAATTTATATTCTTTTTTCATTTTTATACCTAAAAAGACGTGAAAAATGTTTTAAAAAATTGAAAACAAATGAAAAATTAATTCTAAAAGCACCCAAACACATCTCATTATGGTCCCGTTCACTTTACGGATTCAAGTTTTTAATTCGAGCTGAGATGTAATATTTTATGAGAGTTTTTTACTGTAGCAGAAAAAATTAGATGTGATCTTTTCTAAGAGCTTTTTACTATAAAAACCTAAAATTAAAAACTCAAATCGGTAAAATGAACAAGACCATCTAATTTATCATCTTCAAAAGCGCGTCAATCTTCACACGTCTCTCTCTATAACGAATCACAATATTAATCATATTCATTTTACTGATTTAAAAATTTTAAGAAATAATTATATTTAATTTTTTTATTATAATAAAAAAATTTTATATAAAATTATATTTTAACTCTAATTAAAAATTTAAATCAAGTCCGTTCGCCAAACTCATCTCTCTTGGCCCCACGGTATTGAGGATCCTCACTTATTCCGTACGCTCTCTGTTCGCCACGTCATTGATTTCCGTCGGAGTACCACACTTAATTCCACTCTCTTTCTTCAAACAAAAATATAAATTTATTTTTCACTGGCCATTTTTTTAGTCAACCGGGGCGGCTAATGTATTTTTATTTTTATTTTTCTCAGCTCTTATTAATATTATTGGGGGAAACGTATTGTTCCCTAACAATTTAAATAATTAATTAAAATTACAGAGTTTTTAAAAAAAATTTATAAATAAAAGTCTTTATTTTTGTTCGTTAAATTTATATAAAAAATTATTTATTTAATATATTTTTTAATTTATTATAATTTTTATTAAATTTAACGGTAAAAAATAAATATTATTATCAGTGAAGCTCTATTAAATAAATTTCCTCAAAATAAGTATGTATATATTTTTGAGTAAATTATATAGTGAAACCTCTCAAAAGATTTTATTAGTGAATACTCAATTTGACACGTTAACGATTAAATTTATAAAAAATTATATTAGTTATGTTTATTTTATCAATTAAAATTTAAAATTTAAAATTTATTATAATAAAATTTTTTTTAAAAATAATCTCATTTAATTTTTTTATTATAATGAAAAAATTTTATATAACTTAAAAATTTATAATAGAACGCACAAAATTATTTCTTTATAAATCTAATGGTTAAAAAAATAATACGATAAAAGCAGGAGCTCTATCGTTAGAAGTTTTTTGGGTTCTAAGTAGAGAGGCTGTAGGCTGGCCTATTGTTTTTGAAAAAGTTTTGTTGCGTGGTTTTTTTTTTTTTTTTTTTTTTTTTAAATTTGGTTTTACTCCCTAAATTAATTGGTTGGTTTTTATCAAGTACTAAAAAAATAGTTGTCAATTGTGATTTGACTCCATAATTAACTGGATTGGACTTAAGTTATTCAAGTCCGTTCCCGTACGCTGAAGGCCAGAACTCCGGATCACTTTGATTGGCGGACGCCAGACTCCCATTCAATCAGATTTTATAAATTTCGCGCACGCGGACAATCACCGGCTCTTCCGGTAGCTTCACTCCACTTTTACACACCTAACCGGTGATCTCTCCCGTCTTTCGACCTTCCAAGCCGGTTTCCAAAGGACTTCCTGAAGTTAAGGGGTTGTTCTTTTAGGGCCCGTTTAGTTCGCGGATTTAAATTTTTAATTTGAGTTGAGATATAATTTTATGTGAGATTTTTTTACTGTAATAAAAAAGTTAGATGTGATTATTTGTGAGAGCTTTTTACTTTAGAAAAACTTGAATTCTAAACTCGAATCAGCGAAATAAATGAGGCCTTAGAGTGTAATTTGAGTGTAATTTTTAGTTAAATTTAAGTTATAATTTGAGTTGAAATTGTAACTTGAATAAAGTTAAATAAAGTTAAATAAAATTAAAATTTAAAAGAACGTGAATTTAAATAAAATTAAAATTTGAGTTGTTTTTTTTTTAATTTTTAAAACAAAAATATGACGTGTCAGTAAATTACTGGAAAGGGAGGACAATTCCGTCTTTTTATAAATAATACAGCATTGTTCAGGCAAGAAACTGATTAATCGGACAAGACAAGTAATGAAGTTCGATTACAGTGGATAAGTTCTGAGTTTAGCAAATATCGAGGTGCCATGTCATCCGATTGCAGATATTCTCGTTTGGTCTTCTCCGCACTAGATCCCCGTCTCCCACACCCTACAAATTTAACTTTCATGTGGGATGAATTTAGGTTGAATTTCTATGGAATTTGACCCGAAGACAGTGGTTAAATTATTACAAAGGAGCGTTTCTTTCGTCTATTCGTCACCACTTTTGCTTGCGTAGCATCCACCAATCAGAAACCGCCACAACAGTCTAAGAATAGCGGACCAGAATTCAAAATCACAAATATATCCCCATGGTCTTTCCAGAATCACGCATATGTCCAGACTGTATGACGTGGCGAGATGCGATTGGGAATAATATATAAGAGGAAATCGAAGGAGAAGAATATTCAAAACCCTTCTTACAGTCAGTGCGCTTGCTTTTTTCTTTTTATTCATTTATTTATGTATTATAAATTCATTTTCCGTTTTTGCTTCTATTGGATAGGCGATTTTATCAAACCCAGAAGAAAAAAAAGATTTTTTATTTTATTTTTAATAATAATTTATTTTTATTTCAATGAGAAAGCAAGAGAGCATAGGAATTGGAGATGGAAGGAGAAGAAGAAAAACAACAACAACAGCCCAACAAGCTTTCTTTTTCTCGTCAAGTCTTCTCTAAGGAAAACATTTTCTCGGAAACCAAACACTCCCCTTAAAGAAGCTCTAGATCTGCGTCACTGTCTCAGTGCCTGAATGGTGCTTGCCTCGCTTTCTTAGCTGGAAGATTTGGTAAGATTCGCCTTTGATCAAACACTTAGCTTAGATCGCATGTTAAACTTCGCTTGCTCTATCTCTCTCTCTCTGTCTCTCTCTCTACGCTTGATCTTTTGAATGATTTTACTCTCTCTCTCTCTCTCTCTTCTGAAATTCCTTGATTACATGGAGAAAGATTTTTCTCTCACGAATTTTTACTAAAAGTAGGTACTGGTTTAGCCTTCGGATTATGCGAATTTCTGATCCGTATAATTTTTGTGTTCATATTTCGATCGTTCTTTTGACTTGTTGATTGAATTTTCGTTTGAAGCTATTATTTTCTATTTTTTGGTTTCTTTTTTTTTCCTTATTTTCGTCGAAAATCATCGGTGAAATGGATTAAATATTTTGTTTTATCCGTCGCGTATTTTTTGTTTTGTGTTTGTTGACAAGTCCGTATTTTCTTTAATTTTTTTTTTTCAACTTTTGCCTTGTGTTTGCAGATCGAGTTTTTTTTTTTTTGTTAATCTTTGATTTATTGCTAAAATATAAGACGTTAATTGAAAGGAAAATACATAGATAGAGACTTCTGCCTTTTGTTTTGTTGAGGTCGAGAAATTTCCATATTTTAGTGACAAGGTTTTGTGGCTATGGAGGTTTATGACTTTATGTTTAAATTCTCTTTCTTTCTATTTTCCATGATTTTCGAATTCTAAATTCCTTGTCTTCAATATATCTTCTCAAATTATGTCATGGTTCTTTTGCTTTTGTGACTGGATCATGCCGAATTAATGTTATGTCTCCAATTATTCATAAGATTCCAAAACCAGTTTCTGAATTCGTTTGTTTCACATAAATTTAACCTGGGACTTTGTCTTCTATGATTTTTTTATTTTTTTCCCAAACAAAAGAATTATTTTTGATTGAAAAGCAATATATTTGAATTAGAGTCACGGTTTTGAATATATATTAGTCGAACGATTGAACAATCTTGCCTCCGTTTAACCATGCTTTGTTTTGTTCAGTGTTAAGTGTTTTTTTTTTTTTTTTTGGTGATTTTAGTCTCTGACATTTTCACTTGGCTTCTTGTGATTTGTGAATGAATATTTGGAACCCATGATTATTGAATCGAGATTTTGGGCTGGTTTATATTGTGAACTAATGATTTTGCAGAATAGGATTTTGTTTTTCTCATTGTGTATGCATATATTAGCTTTTGTTGATGGACGTAGTTCAATGATTATTTTCGTTGTGTTTTCTGATTTCAGCTGGCTGTCCAGCAAATAAAAGCATGTGCTGTGGTTTGGAGCGGCTAAAACCCATACAATCTCCGGCACCATCTTCAATTTCTTTTGAAGAAAATAGAGTCTCCAACATAGCGATGAATCACTTGACTGTTGAAACGGAAGATACTTTTGCCAGTTTGCTTGAGCTTGCAGCTAACAATGATGTTGAGGGTTTCAAAAGATCAATTGAGCGTGACCCGTCTAGCATCGATGAGCCTGGTCTCTGGTATGGCCGCCAAAAGGGCTCAAAACTGATGGTTAATGAGCAGAGAACCCCTTTGATGGTTGCTGCTACTTACGGTAGTATTGATGTCATGAAGGTTATTCTTTCTTTGTCTGCAGCCGATGTAAATCGACCCTATGGTCTTGATCGAAGCACTGCACTCCATTGTGCTGCGTCAGGCGGGGCTGAGAATGCTGTTGATGTTGTGAAGCTGCTTTTAGCAGCGGGTGCTGATCCAAATTCGATGGATGGAAATGGCCATTTTCCTGTTGATATTATAGTTGTTCCTCCTAAGCTGCAAGATGTCAAATTAGCACTTGAAGAACTCCTCAAGACTACCAGTTCTGCTGTTGCACGCACTTTAACTGTTTCAACCAGAAATTTGAATCCAAGCTCTCCACCGCTTTCTTCTTCACCAGAAAATGGGACGGAGTCTCCATCGGCATCAGATTTTATTTCTTCACCAACTAAGTCCAAGTTTAATGATCTTCCTGTTTCTTCTGCTTCTGATAAGAAAGAGTACCCCATTGATCCATCTCTCCCGGACATTAAGAACAGCATTTATTCAACAGATGAATTCCGAATGTACTCATTTAAGGTGCGACCCTGTTCACGTGCATACTCCCATGATTGGACTGAATGCCCTTTTGTCCATCCAGGTGAAAATGCACGAAGAAGGGATCCAAGGAAGTTTCACTACAGCTGTGTCCCTTGTCCTGAATTCCGTAAAGGGGCTTGCAGACGAGGGGATATGTGCGAGTATGCTCATGGGGTATTTGAGTGCTGGTTACACCCAGCTCAGTATCGAACCCGTCTTTGCAAGGATGGAACGAGCTGTGCAAGAAGAGTCTGCTTTTTTGCTCACACTGCTGAGGAACTCAGACCATTGTATGTCTCTACCGGTTCTGCTGTTCCCTCTCCCCGAACAGGCACTCCTGGAGCTGCTGCCATGGATTTTGCTGCAGCAATGAGCATGTTGCCTGGCTCTCCCTCATCAGTGTCTGTCATGTCTCCTTCACCGTTCACACCACCTTTGTCACCATCCAATGGCATGTCGCACTCTTCAGTTGCTTGGCCACAGCCCAATGTTCCTGCTTTACATCTTCCAAGCAGCAATTTCCAGTCCAGTCGCTTGAGATCTTCCCTTAATGCGAGAGACATTCCGGCAGAAGACTTTGATTTGCTGCCAGATTTTGATGTGCAGCAACAGCAGCTCCTGAATGAGTTCTCTTGTCTCTCGCAACCATCCATGAGTTCAAATTCTTTTAATCGTTCTGGTCGGTTGAAAACCCTTACACCCTCGAATCTAGATGATCTCTTCTCTGCTGAGAGCTCATCTCCTCGGTACTCTGATCAAGCGTTGCCATCAGGTGTTTTCTCCCCGACTCATAAATCAGCCGTCATCAATCAATTTCAGCAGCAGCAGAGCATGCTTTCTCCAATCAACACAAATTTCTCCCCCAAAAATGTCGATCACCCTCTATTGCAGGCTTCTTTTGGGGTCCCATCTTCTGGGAGGATGTCTCCACGAAATCTGGAGCCTATTTCACCTATGGGCTCTCGGGTGTCCATGTTAGCTCAACGTGAGAAGCAGCAGCAGTTTCGCAGTCTCAGCTCACGTGAACTAGGCTCCAACTCTGCTTCCATTGTTGGTTCTCCTGTAAATTCTTGGTCAAAATGGGGATCCTCCAACGGAAAACCAGATTGGGCGGTTAGTGCAGACGAGCTAGGCAAACTTCGCAGATCCTCTTCGTTTGAGCTTGGGAACAACGGAGAGGAACCGGATCTGTCATGGGTTCAGTCGCTTGTGAAAGAGTCTCCAACTGAAATGAAAGAAAAGTTGTCAGCACCCGTTTCAGGCGTTGCGGCTAATGTGTCATCCAATGAGGGTTCGAATGTGAACTCGCAGGTTGAATCGGTTGATCACGCTGTGCTTGGAGCATGGCTCGAACAAATGCAGCTTGATCATCTTGTGGCTCAGCAGAACTAAATAAGTTTCAGTGAGCCCCGAGGTAGTTAACAACAGAGAGGTTTTGCCATTTTGGTACATAACATTATGCCTTTTTTTTTCCAGAATTTTGTTGGCGGGTGGGTGTGGAAAGAAGGTAACAGTAACAAGGAAGAAAGCAAAAAGGAGTAAGAAATCAACTCCTTAAGAAGAAAATTCGTTTTCACCATTTATTATTACAACATAAGTTTAGAAAAGGGTAAGAACACCTCTGGGTTATACTCGAGAAACACAAAAAAAAAAAAAAAGAGCCCAATGTGGGTCTTTTTGCATCTAATATTTTTAAATTTTAGGAATTATATGATTGTCATTTTTTCTTCTATGATTTTGGAACATGTTTCCATTGATATGAAACTGAAAAATGCTATATGCTTGTTCCATCATTTTCCTCTTAATTCATTTCTAGATTTGGTAAACATTAGGAAGGTGGTCATGATCTTCTCCTGAAGAGTTCATTGATATAATGGGTATGGACCACTGATCCGTTTTTGGTTTTAGAGGATTTTGCACCAAATGTTGGTCTCTGTGTAATTGAGAAGAATTATTATGTAACTATTTTCCAGTTACTGGGGGTTGTTTACAGAGATGGAGAAATTGTCATGCTTCATGTAACATTCAATTTTACTGCTATTGGTATTCTAATACCTTTATTTTTTATTTACAGATATTTGTTTGGTTTTTTTTTTTTTTTTAATTTTCTTATCCCGTTCTGTCTTGTCGATCTAAATCATTCATCTGGATTGATGGCATTGGAAGCTACGCTTTGATGGATTCCTTGTCACAGTTGTGTGGGATGTGGAACTTGGGAAAAAAAAAAAGTTATTCTAATGGATTGATTGTTCCATAATCTCTTTTGTTGATGGATCAGATTCTTTGAATATTATATGCCTTGGAATAGAGTCTGTTTTAAAAGGATTTCTAAACCCATATGCTCTTTGACTTCTTAAGATTTTAACTTCAGCTCAAATTTTATAATTTAAAACGCATAATTTAAAATAAAGATTTAATTCACTTTGAATTTCTTACCAAACGAACTTTAAAAGAAACCCTTGTAACAAACTTTAAAAGAAACCTTTCAGCTTATAAGAAAGTGAGATTCTATTCTAATTTTCTTTTTGTTTCGTTTTTTTAAAAAGTGTCTCTTTAGATTAACCAAACTTATCAGAAAAGAACTTGGCGAAGAGGAAAATTGGAACAAGAAGCTAAGCAAAAGCGACGTTAAGAATGGAATGGACACGAACATGTTCTTTGTATCTTTTTGATAAAGTGGAGCAACAAACAACCGCTTGTGTTTTTTTATGTTTGGTTGATGTAACTAATCACTAATGTTTGGTTGTTTAAAAAAAGCTTCGATTTGGACCCTTTAAGCCAACAAATCCACATTATAGAGAAAAAAAAGTTGGTGAAATTCTCTTTAATCTTTAAATGTGTTCCGTTAAACAAAAGGGTAAGGAAAACAACTTGGCACCACACCACCTTTGCAACACCCTTATTTTTTATCCATTGGTTGATATAATATTCTTTTTTTTTCCTCTATTTTATTCTTCTCATTTGTCCACTTAATAAAACAAAGAAAATAACTCATAGTCATACCCCACCGACCCCAAGGAAAGATAAACAATAAAAAAAAAAAAAAAAAAAAACTTCCATTTCTTTATGATGTTGTTGGCAATGGATCTCACAGTGTACAAAACACAAAAGCAAAAAAAAAAAAAAAAAAAAAAAAAAAAAGAAAAAAAGTTGGTGCAAAAGCAGCATGCAATTGAGATTTTCAATGTTAAAGTTAATTTTATGTTCCTGAAAGCCAATAATATGTATTGTCTCACATATTAATTTCATTTTGGGGTAGGTTATCTAGTATGATTTTCTTCAACAACCAAAAAATCTAGAGGGAACAAATATTATAGGAATGAGTAGGCCATATTGTTAGTTCTAGAATTGTGCTTTGGTAGATGAGTTGCACTATTGGGAATCCGTATACAACCTTGGACCCTTATTTTGGTGTTTTTCTTGCCATGTTTTGAGGAAACCAACCATAACGCAATTTGAATAATTTGCATTTAATTGCTATACCATAGAGAGTTTTTGGAAATAACAGTTCCTAAGTCAATTTCATTCACAAAATTACTCTCTGCCCACAAAAATTCACTCACTTGAGAGATGGAGAGAGAGAGAGAGAGAGAGAGAGTTGGTGCAGGGGTGGTGGTTAGCTGTAACCAAACAGAAATAACAAAGGACAGACATTGTAAGGAAGAGAGAGAGAGAGAGAGAGAGAGAGAGGACAGACATTGTGAGGAAGAGAGAGAGAGAGAGAGAGAGAGAGAGAGAGGACAGACATTGTGAGGAAGAGAGAGAGAGAGAGAGAGAGAGAGAGAGGTGGATAGTAAGTTGGTGGAGGGTGGTGGTTGGCTGTAACCAAGCAAGAAAATCAGAAGGACATTAATGCTTTTGGTAACCCAGATATGGCACAAACCTATCAAGTCACAAGGAAAAAAAAAAAAAAAAAAAAAAAAAAAAAAAAAAAAAAAAAAAAGAGAAGAGACCCAAATTATGAATGGTGATGATTCATTGCTCTATTGAAAGGGGATGGACTCTGCATCTCAAACAAACAAGATATGAGTTGTTTTACTATCCTTATTAGGCGCTATCATACCCAAATTGTTTAGTGCTGTGGAGGATAGTTCAAGTTCAGAGGACTTTGTTCCTTAGGCCCACCATTTTCTTTTCTCATAAAACACTTCAATTGCATGGTTGGCACTAGAGTAATAATGTTATCTTTAGTCATGTATATTCTGTGGGAGAATTACGTAGTAGGATATGGAAAAAAAAAAAAAAAAATACGCTTACTATTAGGACATAGTTTTCAAGTCTCATTCAGAATCATATTAGATTAAAAAAAATATGACAATTCAATAACTCAACGGAATTCGGTGAAAATTTAAATTTAAAATTGTGCCTTATCGTAGAATACTTTTTTTTTTTTTTGGTTGAATAATATATAATGTGATAAAACATGACCAACAGTAACTGTCTCTTAAGATATGACCGTAAGAACCTCAAGAAATATCTACATTTCATCATAGCTACTTAGGTAGGGAGATCAAGAGGTATGAATATTGAGCAGGTAGTCTGAAAATACACTAAAGTGCTTCTCATGAGATTCGAAATTGAGACTCCTATCTACTAAATCGCTTGAGAGTAAGTCCAAAACCACTAGGGTACTTACTACGTTGGTGGTCATACCTTCTCCCATTTGGTAAAAGAAACAAGTGACAAAAATGATTTTATGTTTTAATCATGCATGTCTCTTTGATTATCAAATTCAATTCCCTCCTTCAATGAGCTTGTAAAGAGACATAAATGATAAAGAAAGAATACACAGGAGTAACAACATCTGTTATGAAAATATAGAAAAAGTATTAGGTAGTCATAAATCCCTGAGAAAGTTCCAAGGTCCTGTTCCAGTCCATACCCTGCAAAAATTGACGATAGAATTCCTCATAATTCATCAACAGAATATTATTAAAACATTGTCATCTCATAATTATGGTTCCTGTATTATTGTATGGCTATATGCATGACTGGACAACAAAAACTAGTAGTCTCTACGCACTGTGTTGATCATTAAAGATAACTAATCTGATTTTTCAAGTGTATCTTTTAGTATTCTTTTTTATTATTATTATTTTATAATTTGTGATGTAACTGTGTTGAGTATTGTCTAACAAATTGTTTATCAATGACTGAAAAATATGACCTTTCTACTTATGATTGTCACAAATTGAATTATAATCAAATTGCTCTAGCTCGTTTACCAATATTAGTAATTGACAATTACACAATTGGATCAATTATGAATTCTCCTCAAATAATAATAATAATAAAAAAGTAAATCCTTGATTAAAGAAAAATTTTGAATCAATAAGATTCATTAAAGAAATGAGTTTTTTGGTCTTGTCTAGTCTTAATAACTACAAATCTCAACTATTAATTGGTTGGTAAGAAGTAGTCTCAATCTGGATTGAAAAGATAGAAAATTCATTCACAACGGATAAAAATTAAACTGAAGGTGAAAGAAAGATGTGCTTTTCACGGTTATAGTGGAACTGTAATATAAACAATATATTGTTATGTTCTATATCCAGTCCTTTATCGTAACATGATTAAAATTTATGTAATGATGACTTTAAAAAGGTGTCATATTGGTTTATTGTTAAGATCCTAGTTGAGTCCCACATTGTTAAAGTATGTGCTTAGCATGTGAGTTTATAACCACTTGGACAATCTCTCTCTACAAGCTAGTTTGTATTGGTCTATGATAGATAAATTCTCTATTGTTATACCTTTATAAAGTCATTGTTATACAGATTTAATACAATATTAAACCTTCTATTGTTACAAGTTACACGTAAGAGTTTAACAGTAAACGAGTAGTAGATAGGTTCTACCTGCAAAAGCCAACAAATGTGCGCAAGCTCATGTATAAAGATAGAGCAAACCAGATGCCAACAAAGCCATAACTTGAGGACAGTTTGAATAAGGACCATATGCTTATTATGGCTACCAAAACCTGCAGGTTTTTTTTTTTTTTTTTTTTTTTTTTCCATGGCAATAACGAACATGTGTTAGTGAGAACTGGAAGGAAAGAAATAAACAGAATATGTTATGTTTCTGAAAGAAAAATACTATAAAGTACTTGCCATTGAGTAAGCAGAATATGCAAAATCTGATGCTCCATAGTTGACTCCATCAAAGACAAATGCTAAAGCGTTAATGGGCTGAGTCAGTGCAACAAACTGGGAACAAACAAAGAAAATGCTCAGTCCCAACCCCAAAACCATCTTAATAAATGTAACAATGAAGAGGCAAAAAAGAGAGAGTGGGAATTTCTTTGCTTGGAGAGGTGAGAGAGTTAGTTACCGGGATTCCTACTCTCATCAAGTGCAAAACGTCGGCGTCCTTTGTGAATAATCTGGAAGAGAGCTCTAGTACAAATGTGATGATGATAGAGAGAAATAGTCCTAAAACCAGACCCAACTGCAGAATAGAATCATAAGACATAATCTTAAATGTGACTTTTAAATATACTCTATACTATCTGTTCAAAATTAGCTACCTGCAATATGCGAGAAACGGTGGCAGTGACTTTGCTGTAATCTTTCTTTGCAAAGGCACTTGCAAGAATCGCCTAGAAAATAAGATGTCGAAATCACTTAATATATTCGATACTATCAAGCAATTTCGATGGAACTTCGAGTTGCTTTTCGTTACTTAGAAACACATGGCTTACTTGTCCAGCCACGGCCAAGCCATCAGCAAGCAAGGAGGTTGCCAGCCAAATCTGCAAGCAAATTTGAAAAGCAGCCATTGTCGTCGAGCCCCGCCTCGCAGCCAATGATGCTGCCAATGTAACACATAGTGTTGCAGCAATGACTCTCACCAACAACAGAAGTCCTGAAAGTTTCAAGCACCAGAAAAAACGTTATACACCTATTGAACTGGCACGGGTTTCGTATAGTAACAAAGAGAACAAAGGTTGAGGACAAAAAGTAGGCCTTAAAATGCAAGTTGAGTATTGCAGATAATAGCATTTTAGTTTTAGTAGAGAACAAACAAACGGGTTAATGAGAAGGAGATTACAAGTTTCTCTACAGATATTTATACATTCAAAAGTGAAAATTATCAGTCTGCTCACTAGTAACTTTGAAGTTTGAAACCTTCCAAGAATGTGACTTTTCATGGACAAAATCATTGCATTTATGCCATTAGCATTGCCAAAGCTTACTGAATTTCTCCTCTTCATTTGACCTAGAGGATCATGTTGGGCGTGTGGAGATTATTATCGCCTAGATGCATAGTTAGCACGTGGATTGAATTAATGAGGTTTTTCTAGCAAGGTTATGTACCCAAAAAAAAAAAGGGAAAAAAGAATATCCCCTTACCATTTTTTAGAAATCGACCAAATTGCAGATCTTTCATACTTGGAGATAGAAGATCAACTTGTTTCATTAATCTCCACAAAAGTATTAGGGAGATTAAGTACCTATAGAGCAATAAAAAAACATAATTATGGAGTTCTTTTTATGGAGGTAATACCATAAGTTTTATTTATTTGATAAAGGACCACAAGTTGTAAGACAACCATTATCACCAAAAGGATAGAGAAGCTTACTGTGAAATAACATGGGCAATGGCAGCACCACTAACACCCAAGTGAAGAATGAAGATAAATATTGGGTCTAAAATGATGTTTGATATATCTCCCACCACTTCATTAGAAGAAACATACTATACTTTAGATATATATGCACATGAATTTAAATTATTGGATCTTTCTATAATATCTAATCATAGAATATAAAATTCCAAGATGATCATGTTGACCAACTCATGTCAAATTCCATGAATAGATCACACTTGAGGACAAGTGCAAGTTCTATAAGACCCTAAAGTGGATGCATTTTTTGTGGGACTCCAAGGGCCCGTTTGGTTCTAAGACTTTAATCCATGATTTTGATTCTGTTCTCTTACAAAAAATTTGAATGAAAAAGTTCTCGTTAATGGATTTTCTCACAAAATTTGAGTTTAGAATTAAAATCATTGACGTGAAACAAATGAACATACGGGCCACAAAATTCTCAGAAGAAACTCAATTTGAAGTCAACTAAAATGCTTGAAGGAAAAGAACAAGAAGAAGAAAGAAAAAGAAGAAATCATGGGAAAAAAGTTAGATTACTTGTAGCATACAAAGGAGTCTTTGTATCTTTCAATCCACGGAAAACCCCTTGCATTGCCAAAGAGAGAAGAACAGCTGGAGCACCCAGTGATCTCAAAGTCAAGTACTGAATTGCTGGTTTTAACATAGGAGAATTCTGTATACACCACAACAGAAAAAAGTGCACCAAAAAAAAAAAGAGAGAAAAAAAAGGAAATTCCAATTGCCATTAGTTCATAAGTTAATACTAAAAGAGGTCAATAATGAATGAACACTATGAAACACAAAGAAAATCAAAACAAGTTCAAATTTCTTTCTATTGAATAGCACTTACAGAATCAACCCCCATGTAATTCAATAATCGCTTAGCTGCTAATACAAGGAACAAAGCTTGGATTAATCCTAAGACACTACCAATAGCCATAGCTGATGAAGCTGATGGGATACGTCTTCTGACATGTTCAAGCTTGAGAATTTCTGCGTTACCGCTTGTTAAAGATGACGCAGGGTCTAGTTGAAAAAACTAAAGAATGTCAAAAGGTGAAGGAATAAGTTCAAGAAAAACGTCAAGTGGATTACATGGAGGGATAAAGTTACCAATTAGAGATTCAAGCTCTTCCATTTCAAGTTCTTTGTTGGCATCAAAAGAACCCCTTTTGAGTTCTTCATGTTCTGGTGCTTCAATATTAACTAATCTTTCAGTTGCTTCCTCCTCAGCAACAAAGGAGGTTGTAATACTGACAAGTGGGAAAATGGCTATTTTTGATGCTTGGTTGAAAATGGCTATTGAAATTCCCACTGCTGCTAGCTCCACTGGACCTATATATTGGATTATTGATCAAATGTGGAGCCAAATAGTATTAGGGAAAAATTGCATTTTAGTATCCTGTATTTTATCGAATAGTAGATTGGTATGTTAGTGGTTAGATAGTACCAAACACGTATACTGCACTTCAAAAAAAAAAATTGTCATCTGAATACCTTAAAGTCTATTTTTGGATCTAAAAAGGGGTTTTTGACCTAAAAAATCCCTTTTCAAATTTCATGTATCAAAGAAATTAATTTGAAGTTTTTGTTTAAAATGGCAGAAAGAGCATTTTAGAATATCCCTTGTGCACACAAGGTTTTTCGTAAGGGGTACCAATTTAGAACTAACTAAACGCTGAGATACCAATCCACTAATTTGATAAAAACAAAGAACTAAGATGTAACTTTTCTGATATTATATATATATATATTTATATTTATATTTATATAAAGAGAGGCAATTGGAGAGAGAGGAACAATATGCATACAAGAGAAAAAACAAACCTATATGGCCTATGAATGCCGTGTCAATTAGAGAGGCAATAGGGTCTGCTGTTAATGCCAGAGCTGAGGGAATTGCAATCTGGGCGATTTCCAGGCCTAGTTCATCCTTTTTGAAAACATTCCTGGAAACCACCCCATTTCAAAATTTCACATTAGGAACTAAACTGTTACAGAGATTGTAATATGTCTCTTAATAAGATCACACTTTTGGCCTGTTATATTGTAATTAAGAGCAGCAGAGACAGAATGAGCGCTGCAGCTACCTTTGGAGGTGCTGCTGTGTCTAAGCTGCGCGCTGCAGCGCGCCTGTTGCAACCTGAGTCGAGCGCTGCAGCGCACAGTGAACCCACTGCAGCACACGATGCAGAAAACTGTGCGCGTGTGTGATGCGTGATTTGAAATGTTTTGAATTATGTTATCACACATATCTGAACACCTATTAACAATAAACATATCTATTGTAATAGATGCATTAATACATGAAAATATACCTTTACTTTGAAGAGGCATCTTTTGAGAATGGTTGTAATGTTTGAAATGATTATATCCATTAATGAAAGGGAACTCTGTCATTCTATAATCTTCAAAAAATTTACAGATATTATTATTGTTCTGAAACACAATATTATTGTTAGATTTGCCATTAAAATTGATTAATAAATTTTAAAAAGTGTCATAAATAAAACTTTAAAGAAAAATATTCTTTAATACGCCTCAAAGCTAAATTTTATTTGCATTCTTTACTTTCTCTACACTCAAATTCTCTAACATAAACACCACCGTTTAAATTACTAATTTTCGCCAAAAAAAAAATCATTTAAATTACTAACAAACAAAACTACAAAGTCTTCATGATATGCACAGTTCAATCACATCAGTTACCACTCTTACTATTACACAAAAAATAAAGCTACCAAGTTTATGAATATGAAAACAACAAAAATAGGAATGACAGAAACATAATAAGGGCCAAAGAAAAGTATTTAAAGAACTTAATTAATACGTACTTTGCTTCGTTGCAGAACACAGAGAAGGGAAACTTGCCCATATTTTTCCACATAGTGCAGATTGATCAGGTACAAGATTGGCTCACAAAAAAAGACCAAAAAAAAAAATCTCTTTCAAGAATCCGAACGACTTTATATATCTATGGTTTGATTAGCAGAAATAACACTTTCAATACAGGTCAACCATAACAAAGAAAACGAGAAGAGAAAGAAAACCCACAAGAAAAAATCAAGAGATTTTCCTACAAATCATAATTTTATTAAAAAAAAAAAAAAAAAAAAAAACTTATGATTATGATGATCATCAGATTAATTAGGAACTGAGAAGTATATGCTTTGTATGGGAAAGTTATAGCGTGTGAATTTATGTCACGTGTAAAAATGGTGTGGTTTGGAATGACAAATCTACGTCCGGCCCCAGATAGGAAGGCACTGCATGAGCCTCCCTCAGTCATGTAAAACACAGAACAAACCAAATAAAAACTATATTTTAATAATACTTTAGTCTCAGGCTCAATACAAAACCATGTTATTTGTACGAACTTTTTATGGGGTTTAAGGAATTTGTCCAAGGAAATTATTAAAAAAAAAAAAGTTTTCTTAGTTGAGTGGGTAAAGGCATTTGTTGAAGTTGAGACCTACAGTTGAATTGTTCATTTGTTTTTGTTTTTGTTTTTTTGTTTTTTTTATTCATGTGGTCATGAGTCGCAAAAATAAATGGAAATCACTAATAATCTTCATATTTCCTTATCTTATACTTGATTCTTGTTATTGCTTCTCTGTCATACAAAATTTGGTCATGGTCCAAAAATGAATATGAATCACCAATAATCTCCACAAGTGCATTTTCCATCCTCAAACCAATGGAACCGATTGTTATCTCTCACAATGATCACTCTTCCTGAGCACTTGGACATGAACTTTATTGCAGTATGACAATCACCACAGACACGCAAATTCTTCATAATCCTTATCGGTCTTTCGGGCGGGAAGGTAATGAGTCCAAATGCTATGGCTAATCTCTCACTATGGTACCTAATTGTTTGGTTCTTCTCCTCACCATCTACTCTCTTCAGCACAAAGCTCGTGTCTGCAATGTAACCCGCCCTCTCCATTTCTTCTCCTAGCTCCTCCAACTTCTCATAAATCTCTTTGGTTCTCATGTGAGATCGGTCTCCTGAAGCAAACGTGTGAACTTTGTTTCCATCTTCGACCCAGCTCAAACCCGCCTCCTTCCTAATTCCTTGATCCCTAAGCATCTTCCTTGCTCTGGCGGCTTCTTCCCATCTTCCAGCAGCTGCATAAGCGTTGGACAGAAGCACGAGAAGGCCTGAGCCCACGTTTCCCAATTCAGAGATTTTATCAGCCACGAAGGATGCCAATTCGGTATTACCATGGATTCTACACCCTGTTAGTAAAGCTCCCCAGATGGATTCTGTTGGTTTTATTGGCATGTTCTCAATGATTGAAACTGCATCCTGCAATTTTCCCGCACGGCCAAGCAAGTCAATCAAGGAAGCATAATGCTGGTGCCCGGGTTCAATCCCATACTCCTTCATCAACTCAAAGTAGTATCGTCCTTTTTTGACCAACCCTGAGTGACTACAAGCATAGAGCAGGCACAAAAAAGTAATGAAATTGGGCTTCATTCCCACACAAATCATGTCTTCAAACAGCGCAAAAGCTTTGTTGGTCTGCGCATGCTGTGCACACGCTATGAGCATCGCATTCCACAAACCAAGATTCTTAACAGATATCTCGTTAAAAACCCGATATGCTCCTTCGATTACCCCACACCTCGAATATAAAGAAACCAAAGAAGTGCCCACAAAACTCGACGAATCAAAACTAGTTTTAAAGCACAATCCATGTATTTGCCTCCCTAATTCAAGCAATGTCGCGTTCCCGCAAACCCGTACAATGCTAGAGAACGTAAAATCGTTAACATCCAAATCCTCGACCAACACCCGCTTAAACAGCCTCAGAGCCTCCTCATCCTCACCCAACAAAACATACCCAGATATCATCCCACTCCAAGAAACCACATTTCTCTCAGGCATTTTATCGAACACCTTCCTCGCATCCCTTATCTCCCCACATTTTGCAAACATATCAACCATGGAACTACCCACAAACACATCGGAATTAAACCCAGTCTTAATCACAAGTCCATGAACACACTTCCCAGCATCGATCCTCCCGAGAATCGCGATCGACTTAGTGACACTCGGGTAAATATGATCGTCGGCTCTTAATCCCTCGCCGAGCATTCGGCGAAAGAGCTCAAGGGCAATGAAAGGAAGCTCGTTCTGGGCGAGAGAGGAGATGACGGAGCTCCAAGTGGTGGAGGACTTGTGGGGAGTTTCGTCGAACACTTGGAGGGAGTGAAGTGGGAATTGGGTTTTGGAGTAAAAGTTGATGAGATGGTGAGAGACGAGAGGGATTGATTGAATTCCGGATTTGATGATTTGTGCGTGGAGTTGGAGACCCTTTGGGAGGGACCTTGAGCGGGTTTGAGAAAGAAGGAGGTCGCAGATTTGCTTGTAGTCTTTGATGGGTTCCACCAAGGTTTTGTGGTTGAAAGGAGGGTTTAGTGGGGGTTTTGGGATGGTCGGAGTGACAGTTGGTGGTGGTGGCAGTTGGAAACGACGTTTGGGCAGTTGGTGAAGCATTCGGAGATTCTTATGATTTTCTGGGTTTGGGTTCGACCGTTGAGGTTGAGATTAAAGTGTTGTTCATGACTTGCACGTACGGATTAAGAACATTGTTACAATACACCGCTAATCACGTCTACTAATAGAAAATGTGTCCATAGTATAAAACTTACATGTAGAATTATTTTTTATTAGTGATAGTATAAAACTTACAAGTAGAATTATTTTTTATTGGTAATAATGTTTAATACTAATAGTATTTTTATGCATTTTTCTGCTATTAATGTTGCATATTTTTTTTAATGGCAAAGCATCCAATACCAAGAAAAGGAAAACATGCCACCAAAAGCAAACGAAAGACGGAATTAACGTTGCTAGTAGTTCATGAGAATTTTAGCTCTCTTTTAAGGAAAATAAATATATTTCAAAGAATAAAAAGGCGATACAAACACCGATTCACATACAAAACTCATACAGAAAATACGACACCAACAAACAATTCGTTAGTCCAATATAGAGGATTTTTTTTTTTAAAGAGCTATGTGTATTCTCGAGTTTTTGCTTTTTTTTTTTTTTTTTTTTTTTTTGGTTTTTTTTTTTTTTTTTTTTTTTTTTTTTTTTGGTGTTTTCCGTTTTTGATATATATAAATTTTTAGGGATTTTTTCTATATTCTATACGGAAAATACAATATTGGACAAACAAGATCAACCAAAGGATTTTTAACATAATTGTCCAAGAACTTATCGTAATTTAATAAATTTCTTCCTACATTTTTAATTTTGACAATGAGCCTCCCGAACTTATAAAATTATTACAATATCCCCCATTTGACTAATTTTACTAAATTTGCTCAAATTTTTTGTTAGATTTAAAGGATTAAAAGTTGAGAAATTAAAAGATTCATCTCATATTTGAATCGGGATGTTGAAATTTTTCGTCGAACGTGTTTTTTCAACACTAATTTAACATAATTATTGTCAAAATGAGGCATATTATAATAAGTTTACAAGTTGAGATGACAACTTGTCAAAATTAAAAATTCATGAGGCAAATTACTAAAATCATACACGTTCAGAAAATAAATGTGTAAAATACTCTTAACCAAAATAAAGTTAGAAATACAAGAAACAAAACACAACCACAAGCAATTCTCATCAATAGAGAAACAACTTCTAGCTGCTGGATGTACAATTCCCAGTACAAGGAGCATACTTATACACATATGTAAATCCCACATTTACCAAATAATGCATGTTTGGTTACACATTCAAGTCAATAATTCTAATTTATAAGTAAAAATTTTGTGAGAGAAGAAATTTTTAAATTTAAATTTTTTATTTAATAAAAAATACTATAACAAAATCAGAATTATTAGTTTAAATATTAGAACCAAATGTTGCCTAAGTACCGTACTGTTTAACATTAACACAAGACAAAAAAGCTATATATTAATACATTATCGTCACAGACTAACACAAGACAGGAATATGACAAATAATAGATTTAAGTACCATATTGGAACTAATACAAGCCATCATATAAGCAAAAAGTAGTATATGCAAATTAGGCATGTAAAATATAATTTAATTTAATACTAGAATAAAACTAAAAGCAACACAATACATTGAACTTAGCTTAGCTTTAGGGTTTATTTCTATAGGTTGTTCAAATAATCTATAGAGTTAATTAATTTGATATTTAATTTAAATTATTACAATTTTTTGGGATAAATACCCTTACTCACAAACTTTATTATTTGAAGCGATACGTTTAATGGTGGAATGCTTAGATGAAGATAATTGAGAATTCTATATCCATCACAGTTTTAAAAATCATGACTATATAGGTAATAAAAGTGAGGATAAACATCATGTACGTAGATATAATATTTAAAAAGAAAAAAATAAATGGCCAAAACTTCCTTGAACTGAAATTTTAATGAAATTTCTTGAAATTTTACTCAAATTGTAGTATATACCTACTGATGTCGATATTTATACTGATATTTACTGATATTTCCTATATTTTCCCAATATTTTATCGAAATTAAGTAGAAAAAAATTTCAATCAAAATTTATGATAATAAATTCAAATTCTTGAATTGTAGTTTCGACTGTATTTCTTCCAACACTCCGCGGAGGAGAACTTTTGGTTAAGGTTCTGTTTGGGTTTAAAGTAGTGTTGTCAATTAGGCTGGGCCATCCATGAACGGCCCGGCCCAGCCCGCTACAGTGTTGGGCTCGGTACGGCCCGGCCCTGTACTATGACGGGCCGGGTCGGCACATCTCGTGGGCTAGGGTTGGGCAGCAACTCCCCAGCCCGCGGCCCTGGCACGACCCAGGGCCATGCGAGGCACTAGCCTGGCCCGACACGCAGCCTGCGGCGTGTCTAACAATCACACTGAACCCGACACGTCACGGGCCTAACGATCGGAAACGGCTCCTCTAAGCCCAGCCCACGACATGCCTAACGGCACAGTTTTGAAAAACCACCCCAAAAACCCTATAAATACCCCATTTCACTCACAACATTATTCACACTTCTATCTCTCTTTCAACTCTCAACTCCTCTCACTCTCATAACTCTATCTCTCATATTCACTCTCCGATTCTTAGTTTTCCCTCTCAATTCTTATCTCTTATTTGTTTCATTTACAATTTTTAATCAAATTTTGCTACATCCCGAAAAACAAAGGTACTAAAGTATTGTTCTCATTATTTTTTGTAAAATATTTTGTTTATATTTAATATTTACTTACCTTGTTTATTGTTTATAAACCCTTTTGTTAACATTAATTTATGGTTTTTACAAAATATGGTGGAAGGAAATTTCCCTGATTCCCTGATCTTGGAGATCAACCATTTTATGAGGATGAAATGTTGATGCACAAGTCCAACCCCACTGAACTGGATAACGTTCTGGTTGATAATCAATCGGTGTACAACGAGGAAGTTGGAGAACGTGTCAAAGGAAAAACACCGTGAACTACTCTTGCATGACAACATTTCACCGATGAGCTATGACCTAATCCAAAATCAGGTGAAGTTGAAATGCGTGCGGTATGTAAATATTGTAAAAAAACACCTTTCTAACAAAAGAGGTGGGGGTACTAGCCATCTTGATAAACACTATGCAGATGATATAGTTCAATAATATTTCTCAAACTTAGACATAACAGAATCCTCTGGAAGCAATTTGGCCACATCTCACCACGGGTTTTACTTGACAAGGTTTTTAATGATGTAGTCATTTATGTGTACTTATTCGTATTACTTCAATTCAATAAAATTACATTTTTTTAGGGACATATGATATATTTCATTTTTTCATTAAATATTGCAATAAATATTAAAAGGGCTAGTGCCGGCCCGTGAAGGGCCTAGGCCCGAGCCCAGCCTTAGCCCTTACAGACAAGGTCCTAGGCTAGGGCTAGGCCTGAGGGTCTTCCCTCAAGCCCGACCCAGGCACGACCCTGAACTATTCAGGTCCATGCCTGGCCCGGCCCAAGCCCGAGGCATGCCTGAGGTGAGACGTGCCGTGCCGATCTGACACGGCACGTTTGACACCTCTAGTTTAAAGTTTAGTATCTCTAGTTTATAGGTAATAACTGTAATTATTTAACAGTAATGTAGGTTATATGAAGAAAATGTGCGTAAACTAGATTAGCTGCTAAAATAATAAATTAAATTGCAAAATTGATTAATAGAGAATTAAAAGTTTAGCCATTACAGTACTGACAACTGTAAGGGAGTTAAATATAGAAAAAAGTACATAACTTCGCCAGTTTTGAACTGATAATTGTAAGGAAATTAAATAACTGAAATGTAAATATTGTAAAGTTAGATTCGATAAATTAAGGGGCTGTTCGGCAGCCCCATTCTTGAGTTAAAAATTCAAAAAAAGTAACTCAAGTTACAACTTTATTTAAGTTCATGTTCTTTTAAGTTTGAACTCGAGTTTGAGACTAAAACTCGAGTTCAAGTTTTCCCTTCAATTCGAGTTTAAAAACTCAAGCTCAAATTAATGAACAATATTTTTTTTATTCTTAAAAATGCTTTAACTTTTTCGTTTTAATTTTGATTGAGATGATTTTTTTTTCTATGCATTGACAACGAAAAGACGAATAAAACCCCACCCATATACCCTATTAAAATTTTCTATTAGCATTGAGTTTTTATTAAAATACTGTCTACATACAAATTTAAGTTTTGACTCACTCAAACATAAACTCAAAAAGATTCTTATTTCAAACCATAACTCAAATGTACACAACCAAGTACAAACTCAAGTTATAACTCAAACTCAACTTAAAGGCCCCGTTCATTTCGTTGATTCGAGTTTAGAATTCGAGTTTTGTTACAGTAAAAAGCTCTCACAAACAATCACATCTAACTTTTTTGTTACAGTAAAAGCTCTCACATAAAATCACATATAAACTCAAATTAAAAATTAGAATCAGCGAACTAAACGAGAAATCTACACTCAAGTCACCTAACTCAAAAAGGACAAAAAAACATCCTCTAAATTGACTGAAATAATGCAAAATTAAAGAAAGGAAAAATAACCTAAGCGGTCGCGATATGATCGATTATATAAAATAATTCCTATCATCAAACGACACTCTCACGGATCTTTATAAAAAAACAAATAAAGTTAGGATAGTTAATAAAAATATTAAAAATATAATGCAAGCAATTATGATTTGTTGTGAGGTCATAAGGCCCGTTCATTTCGCTGATTCGAGTTTTATTACAGTAAAAAATTCTCATAAATAATCACATCTAACTTTTTTATTATAATAAAAAATTCTCACATAAAATCATATTTCAACTCAAATTAAATACTCATCGAAGTGAACGGGTATCCTAAAATCTTTATGCGGTGATAGTTTGTTGGGAATTGAGTAGTAGTCTACTCTTTCCTCTTCATTTCTTCGAGACTACTCCAGAGAAGCAGAGCCCGCGAAACAAAAAACTTGCAGAAAACCCTAAAGAGATTCTCCGATTCTAATGGAAGAAGACGAAGATTTCGTGTTGAAATCTGACTCCGGAGAGTCAATGGTTTCGGTGACGCTTGGGCGAGTAATGAACACTCTTCTCAGTGCTCGCCCCAGAAAGCTCTACGACGCCGTTTCCCGCCCCTCCTCCGAACCCCGAACCAGGCCTTCTCTTGGTTCGTTTTCCTTTCAGAAATCTCACTGCGAATTTTCAATTATCTCCTCAAGTTCTTAGTTTCGTTTTCATTTTTTTTTTGTCTAATTTTTAATTTTTGGATTTGATTTTTGTTTTTGTTGTTCAGGTTCATTGGATGACTCTCTCTGGTTTCTTCATAAGTACGTCAAGGACGCTGCGGAAAAGAATGAGTCTTTGGCTGAGATTCTCGTTCCCATGCTTGAAAATGTACGGACATAACTTGAATTTTGCTAAAATTAATGCAATTGTAGTGTATTTGCTTTAATTTTCGTGTTATTATTTGCCTAATTTTGCTCCTAATTTTCACTTAATTTTCCAAAGAACGAGTCTTTGGATGTTACTCTCATTCCCCTGCTTGAAAATGTATGGTATTAGATTTGGAATTGGCTCAAATTTAATATATTGAAGTGTATTTGCTCGAATTTTCATGTAATTATTAAGCTTAATTTTGCTCCTAATTTCGCGTAATTATACAAAGAACAAGTCATTGGATGATATTCACATCCCCATGCTTGAAAATGTACGGACTGCACCTGAATTTTTCTTAAATTAAGTTAGGTGTAGTGTATTCACTTTAATTTTCGTGTAATTATTTGCCTAATTTTGCTCCTAATTTTTTCACGTAATTATCCCAAGAACGAGTCATTGTATATCCTTCTTCCCATCCTTAAAAATGTATGGTATTAGATATGGAATTAGCTTAAATTAAATTTAATTAAAGTTTATTTGCTTTAATTCTGATGTAAATATTACGCTTAAATTTGCTCCCAATTTCGCATCATTATCCTAACAACGAGTCGTTGGATAATGTTCTCATGCTCAAATTTTACTTAATTGAAGTTTTTTTGATTTTCTTTTCGTGTAATTATTATGCTTAATTTTTGATGTAGGGAGATTTAGGCATAAGTACTCGTTTTTTATATCTTCATACGTCGTTTATTTTAGCTTATTAATTTAGCTAAGTTTTGTTACTATTATGTTGTTTATCTTTGTTATTATTTTGTTATCGTTTTGTAAGTGGACTATAAATAACCATTTAAGCTATTGTATTAAGGGGCTTGAATATTTTGAGAATTAAATACAAAGTTTAGTTTTCTCTCCAATTTGGGGATTTCCCCTTGTGGGTTTTCTTTTAGGTAGACTTGGACCTTTGAGTCCCGTAATCTGTTCGGGTTAGGCCGGTAAAATATTATTCTATCCATCCCGCTGCATCATTTTGCTCCTAATTGAAATATCAAAAACAGTCTTTGAAGTCCAAGGATGTGAAGCATTCACATGGAGGCCAAACTATGATCCTTCTCAACTGGCTATTCCAAGATGAATTTATTTTCCAAGCCATAGCGACAAATCTCGCCAAGATTATTGTCACCAAAGATGATCGTTTTATAGCCCTTGGATGGTGTACCCTTGTGCGTGGACTTGTGGAATATGAAAGTGCTTCTGATCAATTCTCAATGAACGGTAATCTATGTCCCTATTTCTCTCAAAAAGAATTGAAAAGTTTCGATTGTGTGTAAACATGTTTATGAGTGTGGTAACTATGAATTTTGGACTGAGTAGTTGGAAAGCATATTTATGATTGTGGATTAAAAATGGTGGACTTCTTTGGATTAAGGTTTAATTTTATTTATTTATTTATTTATTCAATGACAGGAATAAATCAGGGGCATATTGATTTCTTGAAGATATTTTCCACGTGTATTCCGTGTCTCTCATGCATTACACATAAAGGGAGGTACAAGCTTCTTTAGGATTGAGTTATCTCCATCAGAGTTGATATTAATGAAAATTGTTGTGATTGTTACTTTAATACATGTTGGGACTATTTATCTGCTTTGTTGATTTGCTTGTTTCTTATTTTTTCTGATCTTTTCATCTGCTTGTTTTGGTAGTTCTTTGCTGGATGGATTTGAGCTTCCATCTCGCCTAGCAGTGTCTGCTGCTGATTGTGTTTTAGTTCTTACTGAATCTTTGACAAAGGTTCCTACAGTTCCGAGCAACAGGCCAAAATCATCGGATTTGAATGCACCAAATCGATGGGTAGCACTAGCCTCCAGTGGAGATAAGAAAGAAAATAAATTGTCTGATGTTTCAAATAAAGGAGTTGAAAATTTACTTTGGGATCACTTGGAGGAAGTTATTCATTTGGTACAAAAACTTCTCGCTGTAAGTTGAAACCTTTTAATAATCCATATATGTTCCCCCTCTTTTTATTATAATTATTATTGTTCTTTTTCTTTTTATTTACTTCGAATTCACGTTGGTTTTAATTTTCTAAAGAGAGATTGTAAAACTGTGAGTAAATGATAATTATGGTGCATAAACATGAGATACTGTTGTAATAAAACCTCATTTTTTTTTACAAGATATTCTTTTGATCTTTAATCATATTGACCCTTTAACTATGAACTACAGTGGAACCAAAAAAGTCGACCCCTGCATGTCAAAGGATTGGAGAAAGTGCTCAAGTGGCTACAAGAGATTAAACACCACTATGACCATCTTCAGGTTGATGCAGTCCTCTAACCAAGATACGCTTTTACTTGCATAAATATGCTTTATGATGTCTAATCATCCGTGCATTGTGGTTTGCATGTTTGCATAATCAAAGTCAGGTTCCATCAAGACTGGAGCATTGCTGCTATCTTCCTGCTGGAAGCATTACAGTTTGCTACTTCGCTTAGAAGATCACAAATTTTCTCATCGTTACAAGGAATTATTGGAACAGTACTTATCGGGACTCCAGGTCAGATAAAGCAAACGCTGAATTTAACAATCTTCAGTGATGTTCATGTTCACTCAAATACCAAGATGCGCTTCTTAAAAAGTATCTCAACTTACTGGCTGTTTTTCCTTCCCCCTTCATTTTTCGTGTTTGAACAGCCCGTTATCTTCCTTTTCATTTGTTCTACTGTCGTTATGCTGTTAGGTTTCTGATACCATATAATTACCTAATTAATGTCGGTCTTTTTGCAGTTTTACTCAGATAATCATGTGGGAGGGCATTCTGAGAATAAGGGGAGTGCTGCTGAGACCAGAAAATTTTTTCTTAATTGTCTATGCCTTCTGTTGGGGCGATTTGACAGGAATAAATTTGAAAGTGTGGTTTCTGAATATGGAATTCGGATATCACATGTTATTTTACCACAGGTAGTAGTGGTCTACATCATGAAAGTCGCCTGTTTTTCATTTATTTTCTGTACAAGAAAAGCCAAAAGTTGTAGTATTTCCTAAGGAGAGTAATGTATGTTTTTTATAGAATGTTTGATTGATTGTTCACTTATGTTGCTTTTGATTTATCTTTGAGAGAATGAGTAAGATGATCACTCTACCCATTGTAATGATTTTTACCTTTTGAAAATTGTGATAGCTTGATTAACCGCATTTGATTGTTTAGTGCATAACGGAATTGGGAAACAAACTATTTTCACAAACTTTCTAGTCATTTCTGAATAGGATACAAGTTATTAAATAGAACCATTGTTGTGGACGTGCTAACATTTCTTTTTCCCATTTGAAGCTCCATTCTGTTGATGAAGATGTGATAGACGCTGTTGTATGCATATTAAAGGCAGTCATCTTCAAGCCACATCTTTCATCCGAAAGTAGTCATACTTATGTTGGGGAGACTGATATGGTGCTGCCACTGCTGATTAACCTTCTAGACGAGCAAGATGGCACGGCTAGGGCTGTGGTTATGCTCTTGGCAGAATACTGCTTGACGTAATTTTTGTTATTCTTCCTCCTGCTACTTGAATGCTAGATGACGAGTCTTTTTTAGGTTATGAACCTGGTTTTTGAAATATGGTTTGTGATTCCTGGTTTTCTTTAGGAGCAAAGGCAGCCACTGCCTTGAAGAAGTTCTGAAGCGCCTTTCTTCTGGAATTGTTCAACAAAGGAAGAATGCAATTGAAGTTATACAAGAACTAATTTGCATTTCACCAGATACAACTACTGTACTTTCTCAGTCGTCACGGTATTATAATGGCCTACTAGTTAATATTAACTTTTAATATTTTTATGCTTTCTACTGTTGATATTGATGTTGTCATTATATTTTTTTCATATGAACCTTGCAGGCAGGATATAGCACATCATTTACTTGAGCGTCTTGAAGATAAAGAACCAGCAATCCGTGAGCAAGTGTCCAATTTGCTTCCGATGATTGGTTAGTTTGATAGTGTCTAAAAATGTAGAGCTAACTTGCTTAGAAACTGGTAAAAGCACATGATCAAATATCAAATCAAGGATAATAGGATTGGGGGAAATAAATTTAACAGCTCCAATCTTCTTCATTTCATTCAAGTTGGTTCTAGTTCTATCCATTATTTGCATCTTTTAATTGGCCAACTGCGTTTCATTTGGCCATTATATGTTGTGATTTTTGGAAAGGGTTTTGGTATTTTCCGTTTAATCACCGAGTCTTTTTATTTTCATTCTAGAAGTCTTGATATAATTGGATTTGTAGCTGGATGGTCCTCTCCTCTAGTGAAACTCTCTTGCGGAGGATTTATCTTTTGAATGTAGTAGTGATCCTGTCCTGCGCTCAATTTTCAAGTTCTTATGCTTATTACTGAAGGTTTACCTTTGATTATGGTAATCCGCAGTTAATGAAATTGTTCTTATTCTTCTTGCAGATCCTTCCCTTATTTTGCCATCATTAGTTCCGCTTGTTTACTCATTGGATGAAAGAGTGCAATCGTACTCTTCTGATGCCCTTGTTCAGGTGCTCAAATATCATAACCAGAGTGCAGAAGTAATATGCCTGCTGCTTGACTGTTTAGGGTACCTTCCTCTCGTCTTCTTCTAAGTTCCTTCAATCGTCAAAGTTAAATATGAGCATTGTTTTTGAAATTATGATAAAATTCCAAGCTGCTGATTTTACACACCCTCCACGCAGAAACATTTGCCATGACCCCGATCTCCAGAAAGGTGTAGGAGATGGATGGGACGGTATGTGTTTTATTGGTAATTGAATCGCACATCAAGTTTTTTCTCTTCTTTTTCTGTTTCTCCAGCAGGTATAATGTATCAACATTGGACATAGAAACTGGAGAAATTAATGTTCTTCTCTATACATATTCTAATGCATATATGTAACTATTTTCTAAGTTCTAGATTGTATTTACCCCTGAAATCATACTTTCTATATGATTCCTAACTCTTGCATCAGATTTTTATTGCCTGAAATCTTTTGAATTGCCTGAAATCTTTTGAATCTTAGGACTTTCAATTGTACACCAGAATTTTATTCTCTACCTTCATTTTGGTGACTAATAGAGCATAGTATTGATGCTCAACAGCTTGTGTTTCTTTATTCCCAAAGATGACCACTCTGTACTCTATTCCAGGATCGAAGTTGGAGAATGATCAAGTACTCAAGCTGATTCCAGAGTGGTCAAGAAGTGTAAGAGTAATTTTATAATTTTTTGCATTATTGGTCTTCAGAAAACAATATTATGCTTGTCAATGTCGTGTAATATCTTCGCACTAATCAGTCACTCCAGCCTCCACTGTAAAAGCAGTTCTTATGCTCTCTGTTGCACGCACATACGCAACGACACATATGTCTTAGCACCTAAGATTTATAGACCATCTAGTAAACATTCGTGAAATAGTAGTTCAAAAGTTTTTGTTTTTATGCTGGATTGCACACACACACACACACATTCTTTGAAGTATTTGGTCTAGACCAGTCATTAAAATTGCGCAATGGGAGGTGTGCTTTGAGGCGCTGGAAAAACGCGTTGAGGCACACGCCTCACGAGGAAAGAAAGAGGCGCATGCCTCTCTGTAAGTGAATTGGCGTTTCAAGGCCGCCTCAGCGGTGGCCTTCACGTTTTTCACTATTTGGAGCTGAAATTAATATAAAGGCCCAAGCCAAAACTCATATCAGCCAAAAGCAGCCCAATAAAAAAGAAAAATGTAAAGAATTCTAGAAGAATGACGTTGGTATGACCAAGAGGCAAGGGTGCAGATTTAAAAAAAAAAAACCCCCTAGATTGCTAAAAATAAGAGGGAGTGAAGAAAAAATAGTTCAGTTTTTTCTTATTCATCACCAAGAATTACAGGCTATTAATAGCCGAATACAAGAAAGAAAAATCGGAAAGAATAATGAAAAACAGGAAAGAGTAAAATACAGCTAACTTTCCTAATTCTATCTTTCCTAATGTACATTCTTTGACTAATCTGTACAAGTAAAATAGGAAACAAATCAAGCCTATTTACATTAGACATAAAGCAGAAAGTTGACTAATCTCATGAGAAGAATCTGCATATTTCAACAGGGAGAAAAGAAAAATCAAGAATAATTATTTTGATTTAATGACTTTTGTTGTGTTATAATTTTTTTTATGGTGTTAAGTATGATTTATAACTTTTACTTTAAATTGCTTGATTTTGCATATTTTTGAATTATTTTATGGTTTATTTTGAGGCTTACGCCTCAAAATGCTACGAGGCTTATGCATTGCCTCACAAGACAAAACGCCTTAGTACCCAATTACGCAATTTTAAACCTTGGTCTAGACTACTAATTTTCTTAATTGTCTTGCGAATTTTCAGTCTCTTAATATGCGAATCTCATTTTAAAGTTTCAGTTTGAGGGCTTCTTTTTTATTTGACATGATGTCAAGACTTGAAGATTATGTGAGAGAACAATAAATTTTCTTGTTTAAAAATTTTAACTTCCTTATTTTTTTTCTTTTTTAATATTGTAGGTTCATAACTGGGACACCCTAATCGGACCTTTGATTGGCAAGATGTTTGCACATCCTTCAAATGCTACTATTGTTAGGTTTTTAAGTCATATAAGTAGCCACCTGGCAGAAGCTGCTGATACAGTCCTCTATCACGTTTTGCTGCATACAAAAGCACAGATGGAGTAAGTCATTGATCTTATCGTTATAGATATGCATTTAATTGTATTACACGCCTCTATCTAGCTTTTTAGTAATTCATCTTTTGTAGTTTAGATGCATTGAGTTAGAAGTAGTGATTGAACTGAAATAGCCGTTACATAACTGAAGTTTCTGCCCAAGTAGCACAGAAGTAACCATGAATTCATGAGTCATTTCTTAATTTTAACAAACTTGCTCCTTTTGGGACTTGAACACATCTCCAGCACTAATAGAGCATGTGCAGAATCTGGTGATTCACAATTTTTTCTTTTCCTTCCAAATCTGAAAAGTTTTGGATTTTTTGTGTCCAACATATTAAGAATATGCCACAAAATAACCATGATAACTTAAAAAAATAAAAATTCTGGATGTCTTGAATATGTATCACCTGTTAGTTTGAAACTATAATAGCTCGAAGGATAAACAATTTTATTTAGTTTTCAATTTCATGGTAGTTCGTGTTTTCCCATTTTCAATTTTCTTTTCGCAGTATGGAGGTGAGCAGAACGTATGCAAGTGATGACCCTGCAAATATGCAGCAATTGCTGTTTGAGCACCTTTGCCCATTACTCATTATTAGGACGCTTCCTTTAAGTGTCTTTAATGACCTTAATTCGTCTGTCATGTATGGCCAACTCATCAATCAAGGTATTGTTCATCAAGCTACCTTTCTTTTTTTCAGCTTTCTATCTACCTTTTATGCTCTCTCTCTCACATGTGCACATACATTGCTATGGATGTCTTATTCTTGTGCGCGTACTTGGGGATCATTTTACCAATGGTATTGTTCTTTTTGATTCCCACATAAACCTACAAGTTCTTTGACTGATACTCCTTCCCTCTCTGGGATGGTTTCTTAATCCTTTTTGTTAATTTTGTATTTTTATTCCTTTTGATTCCAGATCATGGGGATGTCAAGATCTTTGGTCATGACTCTGTTGCTTCTCTCCTTTTCAAAAGGTTGATTCATCACAGAAATGTCATGAAACTTCAAAGCTAAATGGGAATTCTGATGTTTTTCCTATTTCATACGATTTTATTATTATTATTTCAGGGCATTTGACAAGTTTGAATTTGAAGACGTACGCAAACTGGCTGCTGAGCTCTGTGGGCGAATTCATCCTCAAGTATATAATATTGACTTCACCTTTGTATTTGCTCACTTTCCTCGCCTTTTCCAGGAAGATTCTTACTGTTATTCTTATTGGCATTGTATCTCTCACGTTTGTGTTTTGTTTTCACTGATGTAGTTTCTTTTTCCCCCAGGTGCTCATACCTATTGTTGCCTCTCAGCTAGAACATGCTGCAAATTCTCGAGAGTTACTAAAGATAAAAACTTGTTTGTTTTCGGTTTGCACCTCCCTTGTGGTAATTATCGCTTTTCTCAGTCATTATCTGCATTCGCATACCTCATTTCTTTGTTGCTTTGGTTCTCATCTGTTTACTTCTATGTACTACCCATCATTTTTACTGCACTCTTGATGGTTCAAGGTCAGAGGCAGGGCTTCATTTTCTCAGCCTGCAATGCTTGAAGTACGAAAATCACTGGAGAAAGTGTTATTATGGCCTTCTCTGGACGAGGATGAAGGTATGCAAATATTTGGATTCCCAAAACTAAGCTAGAATCTTATTAGTGCTTACTTTGATGTCTTTATATTTTCTTCAGTTTCCAGAGCACAACATGGCTGCATTGATTGTCTTGCACTAATGATATGTGCCGACCTACAAGTTTCAGAATCAATTACAGACTCCAACCAAGAGAAGAATGGGCCTGTCCTTGATTACGTGATCAGTCAACTTACGTCCGATAAGAAAGAACCTGTTTCAACCTCCCAGTTTGGTGGGCAAATGCGCATGTTTGGGGCGCCACTTCCTCTCTCATTTCGTTTGTGCATGGCCAATGTTCTCATCAGTGCTTGTCAAAAAATTCCTGATTCTGGGAAGAAGCGTCTTGCTAAAAAAGCCCTTCCTCGTCTCATTTCTTCTGTCGAGGTATTTTGGTTTACCAATAATTACATGCTTATTGCCTCAGGGTCTACTCTTGAAGTCGCTCGTTGTCCCGTCTCATTCCTGAAATTAAGGGTGCAATGATATGCAGGCAATAACAGAATCGGATATTAGAGCTGCATGCCTCCAAGTTCTCTTTTCAGCAGTCTATCATTTGAAGTCTGCTGTCCGTACTTATGCATGTGATCTTCTCAAACTCTCCCTGAAAGCTCTTGAAAAAGGTTCAGAGAAGGTATAGAAACCTAGTTTACCACTCAACTTCTGGTTTATTGCTTATAAGCTCGTCATCTCGCATTTCAGCAATGGATTGTACGGGAGTCTTTTTCCTGGAATTTACTATAATGACTACTCTACAAAGTGAACTTATGCAAAAATAAACTCTGTTCATTTCTACAAAGAATGACCGGGTCGTTCTTGGTCATTTCTTGGTCATTTCGTAGTTATTTTGCAAATTGAAGTTTTTGGAAAGTTATTTTATTAAGAAAACTTTCGTATTAAGACAATTCTTACAAATGGCTCGATGTTTTCGCTTTGTTCATGTTTCATTAGCAGAGTATCACCTAGATTTTGAGGCTTTGCTGAGTAATCCATCTTGGTTAATGCCCGACTTATATGAACTTAAATTGATGGCTGTATTTTTCATCAGGAAAAAATGGCTGGGGCTAAGATGATGGCATCTCTCATGGGTAGTGAAGACGAGATTTTGGCGAGTATTTCCGGCGGGCTAATAGAAGCGAGGGCCGTACTGTCTAGTGTTTCTATGACAGATCCGTCAATGGAGCTAAGACAGATCTGCTCAAAATTGCTGGCTTGTATAACTTATCCCTGAGTTGTGCTTGGACAGAGAAAATGACGTTCATTATTTGCTTCATTTTGGTTAAAATTGCGTTTTTATTCAAGTTGACCGTCGACTTTTGTAAATAATAATGCTCTTGCTAATTTTCAACCTAGAGAGAGAGAGAGAGAGAGAGAGAGAGAGAGAGAGAGATCACATCGGCACTCTTTGTACACTGTCTCTAGCACATCAAGACAAGGACCAGAGTCAACTAGCTCCCAGACTTGATATTGGAGTTGGTAATTTGCTATTTTTGGCGAGGAAAAAAAATGAAAATATTCGTGAAAGATTGATTTCCGTGTTCAAAAATGATGTCTATAGATTTTGTTGGTGCTAATTGTGATGTAGGCTTCGTCCTTTTCTTTGACTCGTATTTGGTTCCACCGACGATGAAAGAAGGAATATGGAGGTTTTTTTTTTTCCCCTAATTCAGACAGAATTGATGGGTTGTGATCTGAATTTTAATTATGAGATAAATTATTCTAATTTACTAACATGTTATGGAATGATGCTAAAATGTGGAATGAAACTCATGCACTTAGACGCGTCATGCTTTGATCATCTTTCGTAACTTCAGTTTCTTCCTTCGAATGTGTTCATGTTACATATATGGAGGGACAATCGATTTAGAGGTACTTTATCACAATGTTAAATTTAGTAACTGTTAAAATTAAAAGTTTAAGGAGTAGAATCAAAAAAGTTCAGGAAATATGTGTCAAATAACGCAAATGTTTCTTAATCGAGATGCAAAGTTTAGATCTACAAGGAAGACTATATCCTGACTCATTTTGACGTGTTGAACGTAATGGTGACCTCCGTTCAAATTAATTCAATTCCGTTAAAAGTCGTTCAAAATGGGCGCACGCGGATCAAGGCGAATCAAACTGACTGATTGAAATGCAGAACGAGTTATCCAACGCTTCTAGAATCAAGCGGCTTTAATTCTATGTTGAGCCTAGCATATCATATGAAGGTGAAGATTTATCTTGAACTCAGTATATAAATATGTGATTTAATTGATTAATGGTGAAGATAATTAATTAATTATTCAATTGATTAATTATCAATTATAGTCTAAAATAAATAAATAATTATTAAATTAATTAATTATCAATCTTAGCCCTGATAATTAGTAATTATTCATTTGATTAATTATCAATCCAGTCCGTATAAGTAATGGCAATTAAAGAAAAACACGATTATGAGGATTTAGATTAATTAATCCTTGTAATAAGAATTGTGATTTTTATGATCCTTAGCAAAGGAAATATGTTATAAGAAAGATTAAATCCTTTACGATTACGCTAAAATTTGATAGCATAACACAAGTTATCTTACACTCTCAATGGGTGATTTTCATAGGAATTATTTGAAGAAATTAAGTACGTGGCGAGCTAGTGAATTACATTTCTGAAAAAAAAAAAAAAAAACTAAGTAGGAATCTCCCCTAGAGCATGAAAACTATGGTTTTCAAATTAAAATGTTTTTCATACGTATAACGAATTACGAAAATGAATGATCAGTTATATGCTAGGTAATGTCATGATATGTTATATTTGAGAAATGCTATGATCATGATTTGTCATATTATATGTGTGTATATATATATATATATATATATATATATATGAAAGGTCATGCAATATGATTAATATTTGCATACCATGATTATGTTTAAGAATGTGTTGTTGTATAGTAATATGTCATACTGTATACACACAATAAGTCAAGTGAAATGTTAAGTGAAGAGTGTCATACCAACTTCTCAACCTATGGGAGGATTTAAGCCCTGAGGAGGCAATCATTCAGTACATGAGGAGCTAAATTAGGGTCACGGTGTAGTTGGGGACTTTACAAACCCTCTCTACCTGCTGATCGTGTGCACCCAGTACGGACACTTGGGCCCATAAGAATGAAAAGATAATAAAATATATGATATATTCTTAAGATAAGTTCATAATGAAACATAATCGGCTCATACATATTTTATTAAATGTTTTTAAAGTTATGTTTTGCGAGAATGATTTCTTACTTGCTGAGCGAAAGCTCATTCAAATATCTTTAGGTAAGGAACCTAGTAGCAATTCTTAACGGGCAGTGGCGAGTGGCGGACGAAAGGTGAAGATTAAATAAACCTTCTGCAGTAAGTTTAAATAAAATTATGTATTTATGATTCACGAGATTCATGTATATATGTTTGTATGTTATTGAAGACCGAAGTTGTAATTATACAACCTTAGTTTAGAAAGGCTTCAAGAAGTATTTGAAATACGAATTTATAACGATTACTTATTTAAAATTGTCTTAGAAGATTTTAATTTAAGTTAAGTTGTGTATATATATGACTCAAAGGTTTCAAGCATGTATACGTATGTATGTTAAAGACAACCGAGGTTGTAGCTAACAACTCTAGTCTTGAGTATTTAAATTTTAAAATGTTGCAACAGTTCGTGCAACAAACATATGGATTTCTAAATATGGCATTTTAAAGGATTGCTTTTGAAAAGACTTTAAGAAGTACTTGAATTTAAGATTTCCCATGAAATCCGGTTTAAGGTTATATTAGATGGTTCGTCTAAATTAGCTAGTTTTAGAAAGGCTTGTAAAGAGTATTTGAAACAAGAGTTCAAACGCCATTCAGTTTGACAAAAAAAAAAATATTTTAGAAGGTTTTATTTTAGTTGAAATTAAGAAAGGATTTAAGAAATTTAATATTTCATTTTAGGAAATTATTACTATGATTTATGAAATTATTCTTTCTTATATTTTAAGTATTTATTTAAAAAATAAAAAAATTCTGCTATTTCAAGTAATTTAAGTCTAAAAATATGTTAAGTATGTTTAAGTTGACGGCCACGTAAGAGGGTCGTCATAATTTGATTGATGAATAGAACCAGTCGACCGGTGAACTCATGTCATAAGTTGTTAATCCTTTAGAGGTAGATTGTTTTGAGTAGTTGGATGATGTTGGATCAACCCCATCAGTGATTCGGCATCAACTGCGATAGTTGGCATCGGTTGGTCAGACCAGCAGCGACGCAATGTCGGCTTTGATTTGGAGATCGGTGAAATTACCGCACTGGTGAGGGGTTTGCATGATGGATAGTACCCTCATCCTTTATCGGGACTTCCACTGTGTTGACGAGCGTAGTGGGTGTTCCTATGCCTTTGATATGCCAGTATCTTGCACTTGTGGGGGAACACGTCGCACATAGGGTATGGCTGCGTGATTGCCTCATACCACGGGATTGGTTAGTCCTGGCTTTTACTTGTGTCTTGCAGAGGACCCGATGGGTGGATGAATTCATATGGGGCAGTGCCTTGTACGAGTTTAAGTGGGAACGCGCGGTAGTTCTGGATAAGTGCATGAAAATGCACCTTAAATACGGCTTTTGATTTATATAATATTATATTTAAGCTTTAGTTAAACAATTACATTATTTTTATTCAAAATATTTTTAATTGGAATTTGTCTAATTTTTACTTAATTATTTGCAGATGAAAAGTAGTGTAAAAAGCCACACAAGAAAAGCCATAAAAGAAATCCTCCAACTGAGCCAAGCTTTTCAGCCGAACCACATAAGCCGATCAGAGAGAGGGAGAGCCGCGCCGAGCCAGCTGAGCCAGTCAAGTCGTATCAGCACCGTGCGCCCTACCACCCCAGCTCTCCCGTATTTCCACAGCTATCCTCGCGCGCGTCACCAGTACCGCTTAGCCACCAGAGTGCATCCCATTCACGTGCAATCATCAGCGCGTTCCATCTTGGTCTTGCGTGGGTCCAATGCCTGCTCAGTCCAAGTGACTGCCCACTCTTTGCACGCCAGCTGTCCAACGTAGACCCTGCACCTACTCATGCCAGCCTGTCGTTCCTCTCCGCGCGTGCCAACTGTCCTGCTCTCTGGCCCGCACCATCACACGCCAACCATTCCGATCGCGACACGTGGCGAGCTGACTCCCTCTTGCCAATTGCATTGCGACATGTGTCTCCTTAATGTGCTGAGCTCGAATTTCTTCCTTAAAATCAGAGCAAATTGCCCGATTTTCTTCTCAAATATCTGATTTCTCATAATTTATGTGTAATTTTATTTTGTTTCCTTTTCTTTTGTAATTTTTTATTTTTATTTTTTTTTCTTCTTTAACAGGCAACATCTGAACACTATAAATAGGGGGTTAGCCTAAGGTTTTTGAAAGTTTGTAATATTCAGTTTTATGTGGTCTTGCTATTACTCTCATATTTTCTCTCTAGAACTTGTGAGAATGTTTGCAAGAGGCTAGAGTTCTCTTAGTGAGGTTAGAGATTAACTTTTATTGAGTGACCCAATTCAGACTTTTGATTCCTTGTGCTGTAAAGTTCAATATCCGAATGAATTAAATCTCATCTATCTTTCATTTATTTTCCAAAATATTGTGTGCCAATTTTTATATGAGTTCAGTCACACTTTTCTTATGTAATTCTGTAATGCACTATTTTGTCATTCAAATTATTTTACAAATTGTATTTTACTGCAATATTATAAAATTGATATATTGTCATTTTGAATAACTGATAATAATAATCTTTGTGATTTTAACGTAAGGATTTAATTTACTCGATACTTCTATTTTGAAAATCAAAACTTGAGTTTGTGAATGAAACATAGGGGATTTTCGATGCCTTGCCGCTTTTATTGTTGAATTTTCTCCATACAAATCTTCACCTTTTTATTTTATTTGCAACAAAAATCTCAAAAACACGCCCAAAAGTTTTGTTCACAAGCGGTCAATTGTAGCTCAGAAGGACGGTCGTATCCATAGAAAGGTCACAAAATAAACAAGAAAGATTACCAGAATAAGAGCGTTAGAGAAAAATAAATAACAAGTGAATTAAAGAAAAAGAAGAGTTTTTGAGATTGTTGTTGCAAATAAAATAAAAAGGAGAAAATTTGTATGAAGAAAGTTTAGTAGTAAAAACGGTAAGGTGTCGAGAATCCCTAATGTTTCTTTCACCAATTTAAGTTTTGATTCACAAAATAAAAGGATCGAATAAATTGAATCTCTATGTTGACTCCGAAAATATTATCATTACAAGTTATCCAAAATTGACAATATATCAATTTGACAATATTACAGTAAAAGACAATTTATAAAATAATTTGAATGAAAAAATAGTGCATGACAGAATTAAATAAGAAAAGTGTGACTGAACTCATATAAAAATTAGCAAGCGATATTTTGAAAAATAAATGAATCGGATATTGAACTTTACAACACAAGGAATCAAAACCCCGAATTGGGTCACTTAACAAAAGTTCATCTCTAACCTCACCAAG